CTGGCACGTAGTCTTCCTGTAGTGGTGATCATAGTCAACCGCAACTCGATGCCACACTACATATGTATTTTCACTTAGACTAGCTAAACATATTTTATATGAACCCTTTACAAGACTGTTTTAGGGATAATATATATTTAATAGCTTCAAAAGACCACACATTATTACGATAAATTGTGTTGTTTTCAGAAGAACCATATTAGATTAAAAATTGATTTGACACTTACTAGTTCTGATTATCATTATTACATGTTTACGAATGTTACTAGGCTAACTACAACAACCACTTATAAAAAATTCTACAATGCCCGTTGTGTTCCTAACTGTAGTCCTAGAAGTCATGTCCCAACCTTTAACTTTTTTTTCTTTTTTTTTAGATTGTTATATTCCTCATCAACGTATATGTTTGTATTGACTCATATTTGTCACGAGAACACGACTGGTTTAATAAAAACAATTATTATTATAACCAACTGTACCAGTGTTTGTTTTAATGTGCTTTTGTTTGATTGTGCTAATGACAGCTATATTGTGCTTCCATTCTTATTCTTACACTTTGATTGTGACTTCGCGCGAATTTGGTTACGTTCTGTGCCCAAGCTTGTATCCTGGCACGATCTCGGTATCCTTTCGATACCACGAGACCGCCAACAAATATATCTCGACTTGGTCCATTAACTGCCTTCTGATGTTTGGCTTCTCGGGGATTTTATGGATTTATTTGGTTACGTTCAACCTTCGCCTTCTGATTTATTTGGCACGCGATCCTTTGTAGCGGTGTTCATAGTCAACCGCGACTCGACTCCGCGCTACATTTTAACCTGTCCTGTACATGCGTTGCACTATGTTATCTCTATGCTATTTGAAGTTAACAATTATTTAAACCACCCTCAGTCTTTCTTCCCAAACCAATCATAGTCGTTATTGCTATGCTTATTTGGGTTTATGAAGTAGACTATCATATTGGTTGCTTAAAAAAGCGTTTAAAATAGATAATAAAGTCAGCGCATTAAGATACTATCGTGCTACACTGATAAAATGATTAAACTATCACGTGGTTGTTAGTCAAGCGAGCACTCAAAATAAAAATTCTTGGGCCCATAAATAAAATTAAATTTAGTGGACAAATATTTCTGGATCTCGATTTGAATCCGTTAATACTACAACTGATTTCAGAATAACCTAAAACAACAATACCCATATCCCAATAGTTTATCCCCAATCAGCACTATAATTAGTGATTCATAGTGGTTTGTGGATATCGTCATAAGGCATTGTTGTAACTTGACAATCACGTAATATGATTGGTAGAATTGAAACTATTAACAAAGCCTACGGATAAACTGTCTTCCAATTATTATTAAATAGTACTGTTTTTTCGTGGTTATCATTATCTGTAATGTATGATTTTAATATGCTTTTTCCATCACTTGCTCATTTAGTAAACATCTTAAAATCTTGTCAGTATAAATGGAGGTTTAACAACACAATAATGCATGCAAATCATCAATATAAGCAGTCGAACAAATTTCCTGCAAGTTGGGAACATCATTGTCGAATTTACCACAACACTGACAAAGATTCATGACATTATCATAGATATGAGTTGGGAGTTTTACTTTCCTTGGTTACAACTCATATTCTTTCTGATAATCACATGAGCAGCACTCACTGTCTATCTTCTTGTGAAGATTTATTTAGCTAAAAGTAACGTACAACACCGAATCACCTATATCTGTGGCACATAAGGTTTGTCGATTTCAACAACTTTTAATCACTCCATTTCAAATAAGTCAATTTCTGCTTCATGTCAAACTCGATAACTGCAATGAACTTGCATGCACTACCAACCAGTGAGTATCAATATAAATAATTGGCTTACTTAACATCAAAGTATTGAGTCTAGAACAGGTATCTCATGTTTAGCATATTACTGTTGGCTGTCTGTTCGAAATTCACATGATCATCACTATTTCCACGCATTGAAAACATTTTTGGTAACCATTCATACGTATTCGTAGCTTTATTAAATCCTGTCACGGTTGGGCGATAATGAGGTTGAGGAAATCTCCCCGCGACTAAATAAACAGTATTAAACTTAACAAGCTAACTGGAACACTAATTGAGATTCTTCCTCTCCCCAGTTATACTTTTGTTCTTTCAGTTAGCTCACTGATGCAAATGCAATTGAAAATCAACTCATACGTACAACATACCGGCATGAATGTTAACTGACTTTCAAATATCAATCGAAGATAATACCGATATCAGCATTTCTAAAATATTGGTTGTCTTTCTATTTATGCGCACAAAATATTTGAACTGTCTATATATTAAGCTCTTAACCAATGGTAATTTCTATGCGTCGTAATGTGACCTGTTGAAATATCTCTGTACTAAATCATTTCTCATTATGATGATTCCACTTTGTTGACCACTTAGATAATCTTCACGTAGATTTTCGCTTTATGGGTGTGTAGTGTGGCGTCGAGTCGTGGTTGACTATGATCACCACTACAAGAAGGTCGCGTACCAGATATCCGAAGGCGATTGGAGGTTGTAGCGAGATATATTTGTTGGCGATCTCGTGGTATCGAAAGAATACCGAAATCGCGCCAAAGGAGTACAAGCGGAATAACTGAGCAAACGTAAGCGCATGCAAGGTCACAATCAACGGAAGGAAGGGTGTCTTTAGTACAGTCAAACAAACAATTACAGTAAATCAATCACTGGCACGATTGGCTATAATAATTGTTTTCATTAAAACAATCGCGTTCTCTTGATAAAAGTAGGTCACTACACGTGTTAAGCATTAGACCAAAGGTTTTGGAATTATTGCATGTATTTTCCGGCTAGTTGCTGTCGCCTCCTTTTTGATTTGTTTTTCGGCTTATCATTACAAACGTTTCAGGCGTTGTCATTTTATGTAACTCATACCTTTCCACATTAAATATATTATTTTATCTCCAGCCGAAATGTGTTCTTCCGAAGTACTAAACATCATACTGCTGGTTATCACCATAGAACGAGTAAGTATAGACAACGGTATGTCTTCTACGAAAGTTTTTGTAAGTTAGGTAGTCACAACATGACAAATCCACTATTTTAGTATTAGTTCTATTATTATAGTGGCAAATATAAATGTACTAATGACGGACTGGATTGTAAATTTACAAGCGTCACGAATTTTCAATAAGCTACCACTTGACAGTGGAATACTAAGGGCGTTAGGAATTTCTGTTGACAGTCAGAATTTTTACCTTAATTTTTTTTGTCTTGGGTTCGAAAGTGTTAAAAATATTTTTGTCAAGAAATACTAACTATTTTTTCTCTCCCTACCGCTTCACCTATGCCTTGAAGTTAGGCCGTAGATTTATTAAAATGGAAGTTTGCCAGCGTAGTTGTAAAACTCCCTCCTAATCCCCTACACCGCCCCGCGGCAGTGGTCTCCGAATTCACATTTTCTGGGACCTACGTGAGCCTGTTGTGAGTTGCTTTGTAAGAAAAATGTTTAATGTGAACGTAAAACAAGAGACTCGATTGAAAGCTCTATTTTACCCATAACGCACACGTTTCAGAATACTGAGTAGTGGTTGCGCATTATAAATCCGTAGTTTTCTTTACGTACCGTTGGTTTGAATGGGTTGTGCAACAGTTCTGCACATGAGTTTTGGTCAAGTTGAGGATAAATTTTGCCTACCGCGCGAGTGCAAAATTTTCATCTGTCCCTGCAACGCTATGTTTCTATCACAGGAAGCACGTAAATCTATGTTTCTAAACTAATTGTGAAATACTATTGGGTCTTAGCCAAATCACTTGGTAGTCGAGTCACTGAGTGTCAAACAATTTACCGATCCTCATCAACGTCAACCAACATGCATTCATCGATTGCACTCTATGGACTGGTCCATGCAGCGGAGGTGGCACAGTATTTCTTGTACTTACCTGCAGATCATCATCGTAGATAATCTATGTCAAATGATTGGAGGCCTACTCGAGTTAGACGTGAATGGTCTGACCAACATCTAACTTCGAATTCACACCTCGCGTTCGGCACCTAACGTGGATTGCCCCTCCGTCGTATCAAGGTACTATGGCTGCTTTGAGTGCCGTACAACACGAAGGATGTTATTACAGAAATGTATCGGTAAAAGTAGGAACAAGGGAGAAGTTGAGACCACCATCGTATGGGCCAGTCCTTGGCGTTCAATTAACTGGTTCGAGTTGGTTATCCCTGGCCCTGACATGGACCAAAGAGCTTTTCTATATTCAGTGACCAAACTGCCGAAAGATTTGTTTAAGGCACAGTGATATTTAACTGGCCCTACATACTCTTACAGATATATTTCTGTAACAACGTTGTTTGTGTTGTACAGTCAACAAAGTATCCATAGTGTATGTATAGGAAGAAAGAGTAATCCACGTTAGGCACTCACCGTGAGGTGTGATTTCGACTTAAGCTGGTTGGTCACTCCATTCCTGTCCAGCTATGAAACGTCCCCTGATCTTCGACATAGACATATACATTGATGATCTACTTAATCATTAGCTGTGGTATTCTTAGGGAATTGTACGGGCTAGAATATTTCAAAATTACACTAGTGTGCTGGATAAGCTTGGAACCAGCTTATATTGCTAAACTCCTGGTCTCGACCTTAACTGGACAGTACTGCAGAAAGGTATACCTATCTAACTAATATTGAGCTACATAGAAATTGACTTGACAGATAATTCGATGGTCTGATCTGCCTAATCTAAGGGCCGGGATATTCTGTTCATTCAATACGGTCAAATTTAACCGACAGTTTTATCAGATGGCAATATTTAAGGAAAACAGAATAATACGGACAGGTTAAGATCAGGTTTTTGTACATGGTAACTTAATCTTCTTAGTTAATATGCAACTAATCCTTAATATCAAAGCACGAGCACAAGTAAATTAATTGGTTCACATAGGGTCATCGCTCAAATTTTATCAAACTGGAAATATTGATGCACTTGAAGGTTAAAGTACTAAATTCAGTATAGGCGTAACTTTTGAGTACACTATGGTTCCCCCTTCGTTCGCGGATCTTGGTAAAGATGCACGGGACTTACTCTTTAAAAAGTTTTATTTTGGACTGTATAATATTCACTGCACGACAAAGAAAAATGACATTGAATTTAAAGCCAATATTAGTGATGGACCTAAACCAAATAAGGTATATAAACATCATTGACCGTTTTATTTACATCTAATTATTTTCTCAGATGCATTTCAACCTGCAAGAAAAGTTCTCCTTTCCACAATATGGTCTAACTATGACGAAAAACTGGTCTTCCAACAATCTAGTTGACGGAGAAATAGTATTTGAAGACAAATTAGTTGACGGGTTGAAACAAACTTTTCAAATTTCTCGCGATCCTTTTCAAAAGTAGGAGACTCCCATTAACTAATTACTTAGTTGTTTTCATGCCAATTTAGTCAATTCTTTTCGAAACAAGCATGTGAATTCTAACGTCGAAATGTTCTTCAAGTCTGCTATCCCTGATCTGTCCCCATCTTTTGTTTTTAAGTAAGTTCAAAACTGTCAAATATTCCTTAAAAACTTAAAAATACGGGTTTTATAGCTTTCTTCCTGTTTTATAATACACTGATAACGGCTATTCTGGGTTATAGTTCACAAGATGATTAGCTTTCTAGCTGAATAATACGTTTGACGTATTTAACTACTTTAGTCCTCTTAACCACGTTTGTACTTCGGCTTCTCAGCGAGGTTTGGTGTTCTGATGTTGCTACGTATTCGACGATCCAGACTTACAGGTACCAATATGTCGAGAATATAGTCTCAAATTACAACTAATGAGAAACATCAATCCAATTAGGTCAAAATTCTGTTACAATAAATTATACACTGTGAACACATTTCGCAGAATTTCAATACAGTTTTACAATGGTTTATGTCAATGAAAAATGCTCACCTCAAAAACTGATGATTTTTGTTGATATGTAGTCGATAAACTTAATGCTTAATTACGCTTAGTGGACACCAAAAAGCTTCATATGTAAAACTGTTCTTACCCTGGCTATTGGTTCATCAAAACTAAAAGTGATAGTTTTGTATACAGTGTGAAGGTCGGAGTACCGAAATTATTGACGCACTGCACGAACGTATCACAATACAATAATGAGTACTTACTTGATTGGTTACCTTTCATGAAGATGTTTGTTTTGGTTGTACAACCTCTAGGTTGAAAACTAGCATAGGAATAGCATGAGCATGGGGATTTAAACAAATTAGCACTTATTGGACGGCAAGAAATTAACTCAGCAATGAAGCTAGATTTCACCAGTTTCTATACCACTTTAAGCTTGGGTGTTACACGATCTCAGCTCCATAGTTTCTTGAAAATGAAAATGTCTTCGGTTGTATTTGGAGGGCTGGATATTGATGTTATCTAGGCTAGCTGATAGTTGAATAGACCTTCATAAATACTCTGTCCATCGATCCAGCACCCAACGTTAAACATGAGTTTTTAATTTATCTCGTAATAATCTTATAAACAATGAGTTTTATGTTAGCCCCTTTCATTTATGAAAACAGGTCACTGGTTGTTTATAGTTACTCTAGATTTCTGGCCTTCGCCACTAGCTGACAATAATGGTTTTAAAATTCGCTTATATAATCTTTTTCTTAAGTGTCTTCAGTTGTCCTTATTTTTAATACCTATAGTAATAAGTCTCCCTGAGTTTGTTCATACAGAGTATTCGTTGGTGTTAAATCCTCAATTACAACTATTCGAAATAGACCAAACGTAAAATATTGTGATATAACTTTACATCTACTTGACCTTTTCTTCAGTATAATATTCAATGGTGATTGTTCTGCAAGAATTTCCTTAATTAACGACCGCTGAATGTAATCAGTATATGATGGAATAAGTCGGAGTCGCAACTAATCTTGGTATCTACCAAATAGGTCTTTACTACATTTATCTTCTGGACTAGCCTGGGCTAGGAATAAAAGGTGTAGTATACTAGTAACGAAGTGTATTTAAGGTTACCGCTGTTATCACATCCGTATAAGTTTCTGTAATAGATTAAAATTCCTGAGTTTTCGCTACTGACGCGCTATCTTTTACCCTAAATTGGGTCTGTATTCCAACAGGCCATGTAAGGACAATTATTACCGTCTTGCTGCAACAGCCATCCAACTATACTTATTAAAATCACTGGTGATGCTCCTTTGAAATTTATGACATCGTTCCATCCAGAAACATCCAACCTGGGTCTATTGAGGCCCACTTATTAAAGCACAATAACTCGACGATAATGAAGCTCCTTGCACGTTTTCAAAATAATAAGTCCTCCTCTGTAGATAATGACAAAATAACCTGTGTCTACCGTTTGGTTTATATGAAAAATCAGGATAGACTTAGGATTGTGATAATACTATAAGGATTCCTATCACGTAAGTTCATCTGATGGTCAGCATTCTACACCTTTGATGTCCGCAAACCCTTAACTACTAGCTCACCGAATACATAATAACCCATCTTGTTTACTATGTAAGTAGCTTTTGATAATCTAATTAACTAAACCATATAACTTCTTTAAAACTCAACATTATTATACGTGTCACCAAAAGCCACTCAAATTGTTGCTATTAGTAAAAATCTGAGTGGACATTTTAAATTCAGTCAACAATTAAACAATATATTCCAAATCATTCGATTTAAATCCACTTCTGGGATACAAAACTTCTTTCCTAGTAGTCTCTACTGTAGTCAATCCACTTTCTTCAGTCACTCAGCCAGTCATTATCCATGCAGGAATTCCCACGAAGTTTCAATAATCCAGTTTGCCATGCCTCACGTCGCATTTTTATATCCGCTTATCAGACACGTAGGGGGGAGCAAGATAATTCGTTTCAGCATACGTAATACAGCTTGCATGATTGATGTATGTCAGATGAAGCAATCGGAATATGATACTCTCCTAGTTATTGGAATACTATAATCGAAGCTGCAATTTGTTGGTACAACAAATTTCGGATACAGAAACTAAGCAGCGTACATAAAATAGTTTATTTCCAAGTTTTTTCCACTTTTGGTGAGCAGCAGCTCTCCCTATAGCGGTAAAGCAAAATAAATAGCAACAGTTATGTGATGCCACGTTTAAAAATCGGAAATGATATCACAAAGTCTTAACAAATGTGGCGCCAATTTAATGCAGCTGATGATCACTTTTCCTAATTGTTGAGTTCATTGTTACCCAAATATTCACCGGGATTACGCAAAAAATATGACTTAATAATTGGCACTTCGAGTTTCTAAACTGCATATTTATCATTAAAATCGCAAGCCAATGTGAGATATACAACCACTAAAAACCTCAAAACATTAGACGACCGTTTCGTCGTAGTATGAAACGCCTCAGCAGCGCTCATCCACGACCCTTCAATCAAGAATCGAACCCAGGACCCTCCGTCTCATGTGCGAATGCCTAGTCTGTAGAGCACTGAACCAGAATCCAATGGTGTACAAATCTAACTTCAATCAATTCACAATGTTTTTGAATCAGGCTTCATGAAACTCGCCATCTTGTGTAGCTGATTCACAAGAATACGCCGAAAAAGTTCAAAAATATCCACAATCTTTTTCCTCTTATAATCGTCGATTAGAGGTGAGAAATAAACTTGTTTTCTTATTAGTTGAAGGTTGACCCAGAAGTCATTAGGGTCTTAGTACTAACTGGGTTGAAGTATACTTGCATTGCGTTCACTAATTAAAACTAACTCTGGCGCTGACTATTGCGTTGGTACTTCAATTCATCTGACTAGTGTTTGTCATAACACACTGATGAAATAGGTTCATTTCAACTTACAGTTTAATTATATATCTTTGAATTATGGTGAAATACTACTGTCGGTAACACTTTAAGGATCTGTAGACTTAGACTACATTCTGCATCATTCCATTTATTTTAAATAGCTAATTTTTTGATGTTCCCCCAAATATATCATCATATATTCTTGATGTTGAACTCTTTTTCCACAGAGGTTGCCTCACTAATTTATGTAGAGATTAAGTTCATTTATTGCTTGATTTTTTCAAATGATTAGTATTTCAGTCTATTTGGTTGTGTTATTTAGTTAATGTATATCTGTAAACCTCCAAAATTACATGGCACCATTCATTAATTCGTTCATTATGTGTGCTAAGTTTCCTATTACATTTAAACCGTGTATTTGTACTTTAAAATTATTTTCCATAATTTTAGTTACCAAGGCTATTTGGTTGGTGCAGATGTTAAATTGGATTGTACAAATCAAATTTTACAAAAAGCTAATTTTTCTGTCGGTTACACAGTACAAGATTTTAGTTTCCATGGTTTAATTACAAATTGGGGTAAACAATTTTCAGCCAGCATCTTTCAACGTATAACTGATCGACTGCATATAGCAGGCTCAGTAAGTATAATTTTAAAATTCCTATTTTTTTTTCAATGATATAAGTTGCCTATTTTTCCCTTAACGTTTTTATTATTCTGTTTGACAGTTTTTCAATCTTTACTTTTTAATCAAGGTTCTAGTCTTTGTTGTGTGTTTGAATTCCCTCGGTATTGTTAAGGACTGAATGGATTGCCTCGGTATTGTCATTCAGTCACAATTTCTTTTAGTAAAATTATTTAGTGTCTAGCAGTATAAACCAGGATGAATGTTTCGCCTTATTTTAGACTCGCCATTTGGATGTACCTGGATCCTATTATTGATGTTCACTCTGAGACTGACCAATTGTAAGCACCAACTTCAGTGACAAGATTTAAAAACTAAAAAGTAAAACGCGTACCTGTCTCACGAGCCAGTATCTATCTGGATTGAATAGCTCAGTAGATAAGGTGATAGGCGTACTGTGTTTGAGTCTTGATGTAAACGTCAACACTGGTATTCAATTACACCCAGCTGACGAGTTTCACCACTAACCACTAATCAACTTTGCCAAAGTATAATCTTGTCTTTAGTTTTCATCTGTTTTATATTGTATTTCAAAATTTCGGCTTCATTGAAGTAACGGGTAATACACAGTTATTAAATTATTTTGACTATGTTCTAGGTTCATATCGCCCAAATATTTTTGTTAGAACATGTGCTACATGTGCCTAACTACTGTTTACCTAGACGGGTGATTTACAGAAGTAGGTTGGAGGAAAACTTGGGGTAACCAAACCGAGAAGTAGCATCAGTCCATGAAGTGATTGACTATTAACTTGAACTGCTTATGTAAATCCAGACTATCTGATTGGTGTCCAGGAGACAATCTCAATCAGTTATTAAAGACATTGGCTGATGCTCTCTCAGAATCAGTCACACTGGTGTAGGTAAATTCTTTTTTATTATGCACTTGATCTTGAATTCCAGTAATCCTACATACATATTTTTCCTTTCTGTATTTTTGAATCTCATTCTCAATTTTCAATCTTTCTCATCAGCATTTTCACTGCATTATTTCAATCCCTTTAGTATTCAACCTGTTAATTTGATCTTGTTGTTTTGGAGTAGTTTAGCAACTCGGTCCAACGTACATGTATACTAGGCTCTACGCTGTTGATGATTAACTGAGTTTTGCTTATTTATTAAGTATTGAAATTGATACTTCATATAGAAAACATACTTTGTACTATTATAATTACTAAGATATAGTCAATAAGATTGTGATAACCTAATTTTATACCAATTCTGTTGTGTCTTTATGGCCCGCTAGCTATCACGTAATTTATTCGCCAATAAAAATACGACTTATTCACTTTCGCACTGCACTAAACCAATGACGTTCCACCGATATGATCAGCCTAGCGTCCTTATTGGCCCTATGTTCGCCTAGCCCGTCCAGCTGAGTCTAGAATGCCAACAACAGCCTCCACTATCCAAATCACATATTTCAGACATACTGGGTTTATATACTAAACAAACAGACCGCAACGCACCATAAAATAAGAAATAAAATTCATGCACAATATAGCCAAAATGTGTCTGTGAACGTGGGAGACTGTAATTAATAAACTGAGTAAAATTTAAGAACAGTAATTCGTATAATAATAAATTATAGGTCAAAATAAAGCTTATAACAAGGGGAATATAGATATACATAATCTAATTACTGAATAGTTATACCATAAGAATATACAGATAATATTAGTTTATTAATAGGTTTCAAAAGTTACTCGTAATGTAATCTTCGTTAGGATATAACAGATTCCATGGTGTGAGTACGTGTTTATGTTTATTGTGGAGACCTACCTGAATATCTGGGTTACCTGTTCCTACAATTTAGATATTTCAACAAACTCTGTGCTTTTTGCGCGATTATGAAAGTTTACTACCTTTTGCTATACAATTTACAAAATAGTACAATCAAAAACATCATGGTGGCTGGTAATATGTCTTGAAAAAATAGACATGATTTAGATGTCAGTTCCTGAACTGCTAACATCTAACTGGTAGTTACTCATTATTTATCGTCAAGATCAATCAATCAATAAGGAAAGGAAACTTATTAAAATACTTGGTTCTGACAATTCTATATTATATCAAGAAGATGATACTGAATAAAGGCGTTAATGAGAATAATAACAACACTAACTTGAATGGTACAGAGCAACATTGACAAATCCATTATTTAAGATAATATTTTACAAATGCAATACATTGGAAATTGTGACGACGGACCACGGGTGAACTCGAGGAAGCTGTAGGAGGCTCGGAAGGAGCCGAAGATATTCCATCCAACTACCTTTCGGAAGAGTATTGTAGAATTCCCACATGTAGCTTCCCGATTGGACAATGCTAATAACCCCCTGTATGCGGATTGGAGGACTGTAATGATGATTTCGTTCTTACTAAAAACTATAAATACCTGACGATTTTGTATTACAATTGACACTGTCTGGGAATAATATTCCTTTTATTAGTTTTCTGTCTTCTCATTGCGACTTGGAAGGGTTCTGGCGTTTTAGTGCTCACGTTATAAGCGGTATATCAAGAACAACCTTCTAGATATAACAGAAATCATTAAAACAAACAGTTAGAACAATGAACATTTCGATTAATAAAACAAATAAAGTAGGATTCAATCAATCATCAGATGCATCTAGTTTTTTTCCTTTTAAAGAGACAAATGATAAATACAATAGGATCATCACTAGTTTATATTTGTAAGCTTTAGTTGATGAGGTCTCAAGTTACTGAGTTGTAAAATATATGAATCTTTATTTCATATTCTGTATTTTCTTCACATTGATTGTTATGATTTATGGTTGATAAATTCCCCGTATCTGCTAAACTAGTTTAAATACCGAAGGTTCAATTTAATCCTCTTACTTTCATGGAAACATTCCTATTAGATGAAAATAGTGAGTAGGGATACTATGCAAGAAATTTAAAATGTACGTCCATATTAGATGATTTGGTGAGAAATAACTGTCTATTCAACTCAGTCATACATTTCAACGAATATATATATTCAATTTGGAATTCAGGATATGCGTTTGATTCCGGCTTAGTTTGGTTATTATAGATCTATAAATTAGTATTTTAAAGATTCAGTTTTCTTATAGGTAATGACAAACTTAATGAAGTGGTTATTGAAACTTGCAAGAAGTTGAAATTGCAATTTCTATATGTCTAAAATCGTAATTTTACTAAACAAAATCAACCTCACATAAGTTGGTAATATTATTGTTTAATCACAAATGTGAATCCTAAGTCAGACAGATATATTAACATAAAGCCTGGGACAGATGTGCAGCTTAGAATAATAGTTAATGACTTCATGAACTGATGCCATATCTTGGTTTGGCTACCCCTAGCTTTCTTCTAACTTACTTCTCCATTAGCAAGTATCACTCTTTAGTGTAGATGATGGTTAGACACCTCAGTAGATGTAAATTCACTACCTCATCAAGCGATTTTCCACTTATATCAAGTATCATATGCTTAACTTAAGTTCGTGGTACAAATTATTTATTTATTTCACGTAATTATTTCGCTCTGTAAACAGTTTATCAATGATAACTATGAACTGTTAAATATCTTTGTTAGCGGGACATAGACTGGATTAAAGCATGCTCAATGCATGATTGCTTTGGTGCACGCTGATTGGCTAATTCTTATCCAATCAGCACTAGTCGATAGTTGGAGAATACTCTAGAATCTTCTCATGTGAAAACTATAAATATACTGACGTTTTCCCTATTGTGCTTCTGACTTGCTTCTTACTTCCATCTAACCTTGTTATTTGGAATATAATCTCTTCCTGTTCAAACGTGTTCTGATTTGGGGACTTGTCGAGTGAATCGGTGTCCGAGAATACTAAGCAATAGGAATAGCTGGGTCATAACCGTAAGAAAGAGAGATTTATAACAATCTTTATGATATTTTGAATGATTTTAAAGATTGAAATGAATAGTAATTTCATGTCATTTTTCCTAGATTATTACTGAATTAGTAGTTCATTATCAGTAGGAAAGTAACTTTCTAATCGTATATAAAAAGAACCTCTTTAAGGATATAACACACAATCAGTCAGTCAGTCAGTCAACAAAGTAGAACTTCGTACATACGTACATCAGTTGGAGTTATCATACCACATTAGCACAGAGATACAATTGTCAATTCAAATTTCATAGTGATAGAGGTAATAAGAGTATAAGTATAACACACAATTCTCAGAGAGTAGGACAGACCATCATTAGAACTAACATGTATGTTACTATTACCACTGTTTATTAAGTGAGGAACCTTTGAAATTGAGAATTCCATTTCAAACTCTTGACATCTCATCTTACTCCACAAATGTTAGTAGTCGTTAATTCTATTTAGAAATAATATCTTTTAAATTATTTAACTCTCTAAATCTTTAATTAATCATAGATTACATGGAAACGTGTTCCAGATGAAACTGTTTGGGCTGTTGGATCACAATATATATTAGATAATCAGAAAAAGCATTCTGTGAAATTGAGACTAGATCATTTAAATCAGATCAGTTTGGCTTTTACAACATATTTATCAAAAAGTGAGTTAAAACATATTTATATAATACTATCTTAATTCGATTAAAAGAAATGATATGTTAACTTATAAAATGTTTTACTAATCTTTAGAGTAATGAGGCACTAATGGTTTACAATAGTAAACTCGAACTCCACTCAATCTACTTGTGTTTCTGCAACCGGATAGTATCATTAGCCATCGCATTTAAAGTGTGGCTCATACTTACGTACTTGACGAATGAGTTTATAGGAAGATAGTTTACATTATCGTGGAACTTATGTTTATCGTTATTTTATGATAATACGACACATGAGGACCTCTTCATAGTACACTATAAACATTCACATATAAGTTATTTTCAAAATGATTAACTTGATCTGAGGACTCTCAACCGTGAATAAAAGAACTTTCTTTTTTAAATGGTTGATTCTAGTTTAACCTTTAAAAAGAGTAGATTATGACTATATATTTACTGCTCTCTCTTTTATCCAAAATGTTTCCTGTCTTCATAATATAATTTTTATTTATTCATTTATTTTAACACATAGATATTGGTACAAGGAGGCACCAAATAGATATGCGCCACACAGATCTCATTTGATATGTGTGAGGGCTGTGATACTGCCTGGGTTCCCAAATCGAAGCAGGTGGTTTCCTTAGGGGGCCACTCCCCGAGCCTTCGACCTGAAGGTCTGATCTACAAGGCAATGGAGCAACGTCAGTCAGTCGGTAACAACGTAGAACTTCGTACGTACGTACATCAGTTCGAGTTGTCACACCACATTAGCACAGAGATGCAGTGGTCGATTCAAATCCCGTAGTGCTAGATGTAGTAAAATTATAAGCTGTAATCAGAAAAATTAGGGTTTGAAGCTGTTATTCAAGGAGTATAATCCGGTGAAATAAATTTGCAAAGAGAAAGAAAGAGACAAGGAGATTTCAGGAGGTTAGAATTTGGGAGGACAAAAATAGTGGATGCGCCTGCGCCATTCCAAACGATTTTGCGTCATGTCATTCAACATCGGTTGTTATCATCTCGTGGACCCCAACCAGGCAGTCTACACCTACCAACATGGCTCAGTCCACCTATGAGCAAGTTTATGGATTTGTGCCATGTTTTAGTCTGATCGTCCCTAGCTTTCTTCCAACCTACTCCTACACCATAAAACATCGCACGTCGAGGCAGTCGTTGGTTGGGCCGACGTAACACGTGTCCCAGCCATCTCAACTGATGAAGTTTCACTACTTCATCAATTGATTTGCCATCCTTACCTAGTACCCGTTTCCTAACAACTGTGTTACTTACTCGATGGTCCCAGGATATGCGAGCAATGTTTCGAAGACACCTATGATCAAATACTAGTAACCTACGGATATCCTCTACTCTTACCGGCCACGTTTCACTGCCATAAAGTAGGACGGAACGAACTGCTGCACAGTAAACACGTCCTTTGATTGGTAGACGGATATCTCGCCTACGCCATAAATGACGCAAGTTGGCAAAAGCTAGTCGAACTTTCTGTATTCGTGCTGAGATTTCGTCACACACCAGACTACAAGGGCTGGTGAGACTTCCAAGATAAGTGAAGCGGTCGACACGCTCAACTACTTCACTCCCTATCATTAGTTCAGGTGTCAACGCAACCCAATCCTGAAGCAACATTTTGCATTTCGAGGGGGAGAATCGCATCCCGAACATGCTTGCATTGTTGCTTAGAGTGGTCATAAGACTCTGCATTTTGTCAGCGTCTTCACCAAATAAAACTATGTCATCAGCATATTCTAAGTCAACAAGTGAGGCTCCTGGTAGAAGTTCAACCCCTGGAAATCTAGGCGAGGAAAGTGTTATCTCTAAAAGTACGTCAACGACGAAGTTGAACAAGAATAGAGAGAGTGGGCAGTCCTGACGAACACCACTTGAGGTAATCAATTCTGATGACAGTTCGCCATAAGCTCTCACTCTACCAGTTGTGTTCGAGTAGAGAGCCTTTATAAGGTTAATGTTCTTCTTTGGTACTTTTTTCAGTGACAAACACTGCCATAGAACCTTACGATCAACAGAGTCGAATGCCGCCTTAAGGTCGAGCAACGTCAAGAGATGCAGTCCCATGGTAGCCGGTGACCAGTGATTGGTTCATACTCCATTTGTTTCTTGAGGATACTGGAGCCCATGTGCACCATCGGTTTTCCAACTCGCCTAGGTGAACTCTCCATGTCCATCAACCCGGTTAAAGCGCCGGACTTCCCTGACAGAGGCTATATACGCGTGGCCATGTGAGAGTATTTCGAGAGGGAGAGCTGACTCTCCCCACTCTCGGCCCTACCAGGGCATTTGGGGGACATATAATTATTCCTGAATTAGTAGTAAGCAAGCGTTAAACATAACGTTAGTGCTTTAATTGGAAAGTACGCTTTTCAACTAGACTATAAATAACTATATTGTTTACCAGTGAAGGCTTTATCATGTTTGACAAACTTCAATCACTCATCAAATATTGAGGCATCAAAGTTAATTGTTTGTTATTCATATCTTGCTTTAGAAATAAAACTAATTTTACAACTCGGATTTTGTTTCACTTTAATGTTGATATTGAGATTCGGCATGTATTTATTCCTCCATCTTCGAAATATTAGTTCATTCCAACTGACTGATTAGAATCGCCTAACTTTTATTCATTTAGGATATGGTTTTTCTTGTCTCATTCAAGTTTGTTTACAGCAGTTAAATTATTTTAATAGCTCCTCTCTCTCTCTCTCTCTCACACACACACAAAGTCTAACACACAAGTGACTACATGATTTCTTATTTCTAATAAATTTGTATATGACTCCACATTTGAAGATGATATTTGGTTGAAATTCCGTCTTCGAATGCCATGGTAAGGCCAAGGGTGGGGAGAGTCAGTTCTCCCTCACGAAATGCTCTCACACGACCACGCGTTTACAGCCACTGTCGAGGAAGTCCTACTGCATTTTCGTGGTGTGGGTGTTGTCTACGAAACTGTGAGGATGAAAGCCGAATGTCTGGTGCATTAACCTGGTCGGTGGACACGACAGGTCCACCTAGTGGAGTTGGAAAACCCTCATTCCAAACCAATTTCGAACATGAACTCCAAGATCCTGAGAGAAAAAAAGTGTATGAACCTGTTGTTGGTCACTGGTTTCCATGAGACTACATCTCCTAATGTTGCTGCACTGCCTTACAGATTATATCTCTAGATCAAAGGCTCAGGGAGTGGCTCCCTAAGAAAACGACTTGCTTCATTTTGGGTGCCTGGACAGTTTCCAGCCCTCATACAAATTTTGTGTGACACATACGTTTAGGTGCCTCTTTGTAACTATGTTTATGTGCTTAAATAAGTAAATAACAGTGGCTTAATGGTTTTAGTACTCATTTTTCAACTAACACCTTAGGTTAGTACCTTGCTCTGTCTAATTTAATGTAGACAGGCGGTTAACATCTCTAAACATTACACAAAAGGTGTAACTCGGAGCCATGTATTAGGTTGTGCTTGAATATCCATCTAAACAATTTCTATCTAATATTCTAATATTTTGTGATCGATAATTGGACCTGATCGTTACACGGTGTTTCGATTTTTTGTTTCATAAGTAGTCAATCCTTTTCAAACATCTCATCGCTTATTGTATAGTGCATCAATTAGAGATTAGGTTGCCGAGTTATTTATTCCATGCGTTACACATTTCACTACTAGATCGGCAAATGATAAGTGGTCACTCTAACTCTGACTATAATTAATAAATTTCTATCTTTTTGTAAGGTAGTGGGGCTTTAGCATTTAAAGCGATCTAACTTCAGCCACTTAGCCTCAGGTTCGAACCCTATTTCATTTACTTCAGCTTGAGCAACCGAATGGTATCGCTAGCGCTCGAAATTAGAATGAAGCCCAAAATCAAATATACAAACCTATATCTGTTTGATGAGTTAATAATGGTAAAAATAACTGTCAACTTTTGAATGGATTGTGTGGTAAAACTATAATTTATGAACAACCTTTGAGCAACTCTGAAGTGATCTTGAGAATATTCACCTATATACTACGGCTAAATGAGAGTTATAAATCAATGTAAAGAATTAGGATTAATATTTACAGTTGATAATTAGGGTTAAAAATTAGATTTCGGCGTTTTCATCACGAACTGACATTATCTATGATATCAAAACTTTATTTAACCAAATGATTGAATTGATTTCGCGCCAAAATTCAAAACTTGTTATCGTAAATCTGATTGGTTCATTCATAAGTTGTATACATATATAAAGTATGTTCGTTTACATCTCCTTTTTTCTTTCTATATTCCACTATAGGTCTTCAATTGACATTGAGTGGAGTTTTCAATGGTCCAGATTTGACAAAAATGGGTATTGGTTTAGAATTGAATGCTTAAAACATTTATGAATATACTAATTTTTCTATGAATTAAAATAAAACAATATGACTATGTATCAATTATAGATGTAAAACAATTATGAATGAATTAGTTCACTTTCTCTTTGCCCCGGTTTCATCGTTACAATCATTCTTTCACCAAATACAAAAGTATTAGTTATTTAGATTGTTCATGTTGAAAATTTATTCTGTTATTTCATTCATGGTTATGTTGCTTCTTTATTGTTCAACTGTTTTCTTTCCACCACTACCACTTCCAAACTATTTAGTCTATATACTGCCATTACATTATCCAAGTGTATATGACCTTTTGTAGGTGTGTTTTGCCTCTGCTTTTTTTTCTAAAGATTTTTATTTATTGATGAGATTACATATTAAGTTGAATCTCTTAAAAGAATCTGTATTTCATCATAAATATAGATAGTTACATGTAAATGTACTTTTGTAGATTAAATGGCCCCCAAATACCCTGGTACGGCCGAGAGTGGGGAGAGTCCGCTCTCCCTCTCGAAATGCTCTCACATGGCCACGCGTATATAGCCTTTGCCAGAGAAGTCTTACTCAGTGCCATCTCGTGGTGGGGGTGTTGTTTACAAAATTGGGAGGACGAAAAGCGAATGTCCGGCGCTTTAATCGGATTCCAAACCAATGGTGCACATGGGCTCTAGTATCCTGTGGGAACAAATGGCATATGAACCAATTGTTGGTCACCGGCTACTATGGGAATGCATAGTCTTACGTTGCTCCACTGCCTTGTGGATCAGACCTTCAGGTCGAAGGCTCGGGGTGTGGCCCCCTAAGGAAATCACCTGCTTCGGTTTGGGCACCCGGCCAGTATCACAGCCCTCACACATACCAAATGAGATCTGCGTGGCGCATATGTATTGAGTGCCTCCTTGTACCAATATCTATGTGTTGAAGTAAATAAATAGATTAAATGTAAACTCACACTAATCTATAATAGGACATTGAGTTTGAGTCTCATTATGAACATAAATAATAAGATGGAGGTATATTCAATTGTTAATGAGTCCGAAATTGAACATTGTTCATCTTATAATTTCCACTACTGACAATGATCGATTTGTAAGTTGAACTGATAATAAAATATCCTTTCAATAGTGAAGGAATGAGAGTTGTTGCTTAAGTCATCCAGCTTTCAACCGTAAAGTGACAAGTTTAAACGTTAATCCACCTACTTTGATTTTAACAATCGAATAGTATCATACAGCATGACTAACCCGAATACATAAATATATTAGACATTAATACCATTGGACACTGGCTCAGTGGTCTGGGGGTTAAATGTTCGTACATGAAACTGGAGGTCTTAGGTTTTATTGCCGCGTTTGGGATCGTTGATGCGTCCTACTGACGAGTCCCTTGCTAGGTTTTTAATCATGGTCTAACATTGATCGGTTCATTATCTCAATGAAACTCAACAATCTTCATGACGCTATTCTGATACATAAATATATATTTGATAAATGAGTTATATCTGTTTAAGAAACCCGAAGAGATTGATTAAAATGAGTATAAATAGTATGAAATTGGAAATTCTTATCATTAGTTATGAAAGTTGTTGGGAGATCCAGAGAACTCGAAAAAAAGCTGGAAAAGGCTATGAAAACACTGAGAAACATCTTATCCAATCAGCATTGATTAGAAGTTTTGCTAGAAACCTCTAAAAAGTGAAAAGTCATATGTCGAGTTTCTGATTGGATGATTACCTACACTGCTACTATGTTTGGTGGCGTTCCAGAACTTTCTGGGAACCTAAAATCATCTAAAGTACTGTAAAAATCCTAGGTTTTCTTTGCAAAATCGAACCTTTGGAGTAAAGCGTTTTTTCCGTATTTCGCACATTTTCTCTCATGTTCAAGTCGCTGTGTTCATTTAGCCTGGCGGTTAATAGGAAGAGCTTAGGAACAGAATCTAGCGTTCAGTTAGAAGACTTATCAAAAATGTGGAAGACTTTTTCGTCAATTAAATATGTAAGAAGGACATTTTCTAGTTATTCAGTTCAAATACTGTAGTATACATAATTAACTTCAGTTAATTTATAATAACTAGAATATAAAAGTGGTACTTATTTTCTGTTGTTGATTGACATCATTGTGGAACGATTTCAGCTTACAAATTAGTTGAAACTAGCATGAATACCGAAAAATAATATAAAACTTTGAGAAATGGCTTCTCTTCATCGAAAGGAGTGGTTCGACTTTCTTCTCTGCTACCGTACATCCTTACTACCCTATAGTGAGTTAAGTTGTTCGCATATTATTATTGATGAATCAGGCTACTGATTATTTATATAAGTAGTAAGATGCGTGGAACAAAGTTTTCAGTTTAAGTGTTGGCGTGATATCGGTTTCGATTTCATAATCGTTTTACAGGCGGAAAAATGAAATAAAACTTAATAAGTGACAGATGGAACATTTAGGACTAAATTGATTTATTGAAACAGAATTACAGTGTGTATAGGCCCCCAAATGCCCTGGTACGGCCGACAGTGAGGAGAGCCAGCTCTCACATGGCCACGCGTATACAGCCACTGCCAGGATAGTCCTACTCACTGACTTCCGGTACCAGGAGTATTGTTTACGAAACCGAGAAGACGAAAAGTGAAGATCCAACGCTTTAACTTGATTGGTGGATATGTGGGGTCCACCTAGGGGAGTTCGAAACCAATGGTGTACATGCGCTCCAGGATCCTAAGGGAACAAATAGCTTATGAACCAATTATTGGTCACCAGCTTCCACGGGAATGCATCTCCTTAGGTTTCTCTACTGCCTTGTGGATTAGACCTTAAGGTCGAATGCTTGAGGTGCGGCCCCCCTAAGTAGATCACCTGTTTCGGTTTGGGCACCCCGGCAATATCACAGCCCTCACAAATCGAATGATTTACGTGGCGCATATCTATTTGGTGCCTTCTTGTACTAATGTTTGTGTTTAAGTAAATAAATAAATAACTAATATTTAAGTCTGTCATAAGACGTAGGGATTTATACAACAGTTCATGGTTCAACTCAAAGTCTCCAGCTATTGATCACTGTAATTTCGTGAACCTTAACCAGGTAGTCTGCACCTACCTACATGGCTTAGCATAACTGTCAACGTTGTAATATACACCTTAGCCTAACCACTGTTACACCAGCAAGCATCGCCGCAGAATAGGCAGTGGTTGGACGTGTGTAATACAAGATCCAATCGCTTCAGTCGATGAAAGCTCACTACCTCATCAATCGATTCATTATTTTTAACCAGTAGCTTGAGTTTGACTTCAGTATGGCTTATTCAGTAGTCTCAACATATTGCTTATTCATCATTGTATGGATACAAAAGATCGTCGTATAGTTAATTTTTCTTATTAAGTTATTATTTCTGTTTAAAAGGCTGATAATTAAAAGAGATCTGAATTATCAGGTTTGTTTTATACTTTCTTTACCTACGCCTGTTATCTCTTATGAAAGAGTATAGACCACCCAACTCTGTCCTGGGCATTCCTTTCCAATTGTTTCCACTTGCTATTCGCTCTTTTGATATATGCCTCCAATTCCGAATGCAATGTATTCTTTGGTCTTCCTATTCTCCTTTCGTTTCATAGATTCCAAGTAAGCGCCTGCATCGTGATACAGTCTGACTAATTCCGTAATGTATGTCCTATCCACTTCCAACGTCTTTTTCTCATTCCTCTTCAGATGGAATCTGTTTTGTTCTCTCTCACAGTAGGCTGTTGCTGACAGTTTCCGTCCAACGGGCATTAAGTATCTTGTATGGACAATTATTTATAAATACTTGTACCTTTTTGATGATCGTTGTATTAGTTCTCCAAATTTAAGCTCCGTAAAGTTGGACGGTGTTGATGTTCGTATTGAAAATTCTTACTTTGATATCGGTTGACAGACAGTTGTTTTGAGTTCCACATGTTCTTCAACTTGCTTTCACATTTGCATACGATCGTCCCTGTTCATCGATGATAAGTGAAAGATTCCACATCTTCCAGAGTTTCTCCATTGAAAAAGATTGGGTTGGTGTTCTCTGTGTTTTATTTGAGGATCTTGCTTTTTCCTTTGTGTATATTGAGACTTACTGATGCACAGGCTGCTGTCACACTACTTGTCTTTATCTGCATTTATTAATGTGTATGGGATAGAAGGGCCAGGTCATCTGCGAAGTCCAAATCTTCTAACTGATTCCAAGCTGTCCATTGAGGGTTTTTGGGTAACATGTAGATACTTAATTACAGAAATAAAATCCCATGAATAGTATAACTTATCATTGAAATTTCATGCTAGAAAAATACCTCTTCCTGATCACAGCGAACCTTTCTAAATGACTTACAACAATATGGCAAATTTATTGTTAAAAATTTCCTCTTTTGTGATAGTTTCGTTTTAAATGTTATTTTGTAACATTAGGAGGTTATAGGCAAAGATGGATATTGTCTAGAAGTGGAATCCAGGACGCGCGTATCGTCCTGTTTGGAACTCGTCAGCTGGATATAACTGCATTTCAGAGGTGATTTTCACTCCTAGACTCGAATCCAGTACCGTTCGCTTCAAACGCCAACCAGCTGTCCACTTAGCTACTAAGTCCTAAATGGATAACTCGATAGCGTCAATTGCACACTCATCTTTTACATCTGCTCTTTACTTGACAGCATAATGTGTTTGACAACAAGAAAGTATGGTTGAAGTGATTTAGAAGATATCACTACCAAAACAGGAATATATTATCTTCGATAAACCGTATTCGTTTGACCTGAACACAACATGTGCTCCCTTCGTCCTCTCAAAACTGTTCACATTGAGAACTGTTACTTGACGGTTCAGTCAGCAATATTTGTTTGGATATCACATACAATCATAACACCTATTTGAGTTCTAATCTAATATGCGTTTTCCCATAAGAAATATTTTTCTAAAAGTAACAATAATGATGATAACACTAGTTACAGATTTCTTCTGTACACATAATTGGGGTGAAATGTACGAATTCCTATGGCTTCAGCTATATAAAGGAGACGGGAACAAACTCCGTTGAAAGATGATGGGGGTAAATGGTAGATAACTCGAAATGATTTCGATTTATCTACATTATGACCACTGTCAATCAACGGGGATGTGGCTAGCGATACTCTGAAAGATAGGTTAACAAAAGTAATTAGCAGGACATTTTAAGCAGCCAATTTTGTGTTGACTTTCTCGAGTCAACCAGCGATGTCTACTCAAACGAAGGAAAAGTTACCTGAGTTGGCCTCCTCTATGTGTATTTACAAGTTCAGCTGCTCCTGGAGAGATAGCTTTATCGGGAATAATACCACGCAACTTAACCAACGAATGAGTGAACATCTACCAGCTTGGTTTGAGAAGGGCCAGATAAAAACAATACGCAGTTCTAACTTGGCACATCTAATTGATAGTGGTGA